GTACCCTTTACAGTACTAGCTAGGTGTCTAATAAAGTGGGTCCTACCCGGTACTAGCTAGGTGTCTAATAAAGTGGGTCCTACCCGGTACTAGCTAGGTGTGTCTAATAAAGTGGGTCCTACCCGGTACTAGTTAGGTATACCTGATAAAGTGGGTTCTACTTAGTACTAGCTAAGTGTACCTGATAAAGTGGTCACTGAGTATGTACGTGTACAGGATTCTCCACTCACTCAACTATAATGCCTCTACTTATCTGTCTGCTAGAGTACAAATATTTGTCACCCAGATGTAGCACTGAGCATCTGAGGACATTTACAGTTGATGCAAATAGCTAAAGGCACATGTGTTGTTGTTAATACAAAGCTGCTGTTTTTCCAAAGCCAAAAGAGCTGTTGTGATGAAAACATGATCCACAGTTTGTAAACATTTTAACCAAACTGATTTAACTCGAAAGCGATGAGTTTGTTGTAGACTTCATCTACAAAATGAAAGCATTAAGGCTGTTTCACTCATAGTAACTCGCTTGGCATTGTGCAAGCGTGCCGTAGCATTTGTTCAATCGATCCATTGTTGTCGACGTTTCTTGATTGCTTAGGTTGATACCGCTCCTGGTTACATATCAACATATAACAGTGTAGGGCCTTTCTGAAGAAATAACAAATCCAAAGCACCAAACTCTTTAAAAAGACATTAATTCAAGAACATGTTACATTCTATAGCATAGTTCAAACAGCTCTTCTTACTGCTTTCACCCACAAAAAAAGGACCCAACAGTATTTAAAGACATATAAATGAAAACTAGTCAGAGAATAAAAAAAGTGCTTGGTGAACAGACGGATTTGAGTAGCGGCACAGGAAGCCATGAGGCGGTCAGTGGCCCACAAAGATGATGCGATAGGTTAGCTGGTGCCCGTTGTCCCATGCGTACAGGACCTTCTCCTTGGGGTTGTAGTCGATTTGTGTGGTGAAAGAGTACTCATTGGTGAAGGCCAGCCCAGGCTCCGCCTCGGTGTCAGTGTGCGTGTCGTACGCGTAGGACACCACCCCCTCCTTCTGATTGTAGACATTGATGGCGTATAGCACGCCGCAGACGATGAAACAGTTGCCGAAGGAGTTTCGCTTCAGGCCCGTCCGCCAGGTGGTCTCCTTCCGCACCGACAGGTCCCCCGGGTCCAGCTTGCTAATGACGATGACCTCCTGTTCAGAGTAGTCGTCATCGGTGCTTGGGTAGATGACCCACAGGCCGCTCTCGTCCACCGCGAAGTCGATGTCCGAGTGGCCGCGCCACTTCCAGGGCGTGGTGTCTTCATAGACCACGTCGTGCAGCAGAGTCCAAGCCGCCACGTAGCGCATCCTCAGGTCGTACTTGATGACGTTCTTGGTGAAGGCCCGGTTGTAGTAGAAAGCACCGTTGTAGACCACGTGACCAGTGCCAATCCAGTTATATGGAAGCTTGTACAAGTTACTCCATCGGCCTGAAGACACAGAACCAGAGCGTTACTGTCAGAATCGGGCTATTCCTGATACCATATAAATGCTCTGAAAGATAACCCAGTGTGGCCCGACTCGACTTGTGTTCAGCATTCCTTAACCTCCTGTCATGTAAAAGGTACACTTGAAAATTAATCTTCATAAAATATATTTTACCTTATTAAACAAATAGCCTTTTTTTTTATCCCAGCTGTATTAATGGGTTATTGGAATAAAATGAGCGGAGAACTGAAGACTTAAAGGAATCCAGTTAAGCCAAGGAATGGAGAAATGATAGAGTGGGAGACATAAGCAGAAGCACATGAATCCCTCTCGGTGTAAGATGTAGGGTGATTTAAAAGTCAAGGGCCTAGATTAATGCTGTCTGATTCACTGAGGACGAGCGGGGCCAGTGTCTGCTCTAAGCGCATGACCGCAGCTCATAGGAGTGTGTCCTCACAAGGTCGTTTCCGCATTAACCCCCTTCCCATATTTAGACAAAAGTCCCTGTGTAGTCTTCAGTTATAATATACAATCTGCTGTGGCTTATTCATCTGAAAATCGCTTTTTTTTTCCCACTAGTCAAACTAATCTTTGTAAAAGAGACATGCTTTCAAAATGTGTAATTTTTGCATTCATTGAAAAACAATGAGAAGGACATTGCGAGTTATTTCAAAAATAATATTTGGTTATATAGTCTACATTTTGATATCAATACATGGTTTTCTTGCCATACAGAAACTAAACTATATAAATGCGTTTTTGCATCCTCAGAAGAATGGCTCACCTTGCTGGAAATTCTCCAGGTTTCGGAATTCAACGAGGTTGTTACCATAGTAATAGTTGGTGACATAGATCTTGGAGTCCTTGGCGACAGGGTCCTTCATCCAGGCTCCTTCATTGCGCCCGTAGCTGTGCTGTTTCTCTGGCAGCTCCACAGAGGCTATCGTGCCCTCGCAGTCCAAGTCCTTCACTGTCATTGGCCAGCACCGCAGATACACAGCATTAGCGGTTCGAGGGTAGGTGAACTTTTCATTGAAGCATTCATGGAACATGAGCTCACAGTAACAGTAAAGCAGAGAGCGCCCCAGCTAGGTGGCATACCTGAGCGGTTAGGAACGACCCGACTGCTGTTATCAGAGTTGTCCAGCACCAATACTATGGTTGGCGCTGGTCTCTCGGGCCGGGCCGTGGTGGTCGTGGTGGGGGACTCAGTGGTGCTGCTGGTTGTCGGTGTGGCTAGGGTTGTGGTGGTGGTGGTCGTTGGCACCGCCTTACTGGCTTCAGTGGTCTCCACAGTGGCCTCGGAGCTCCTTTCGCCGGAGTGAGCCTCTCTGGAGTCGTGGGCCACATGGGCTCTGGCAGGGGCTTCTGTGGGACAGACAGAGGGGCTACATCAGTAAATCTTTCCTTTGGTATTTCCCTCTGCCAAGCCACAACGTTTTCAGAGATTACAGCCTCGATTCTCCAGCCATGGCATCAAACGAAATCTAGAATTAATGAAGCTGACTTCCACCTTGTGCCTACACTCTCCCCCCCGCCCAGTAACCCAGCATAGCCTCATTCTGTTTGTGCTCAGCATTCCTTGGCTTCCTGGGATGCTTCCAGAAAGTTCTGAATATTTCTCCATGGACAATGGACAGATCCTGGGAGAAAAGCCAGTGGGCTCCTTCATTCCTGTCCTCTGTCTACCTGTTTCGAGATCTGAGAAAAGCACGGTAAAGCTGGCCGCGCCTAACCCGACCCCTCACAGTCCAGGCCACACCTCCTCCAGTCTTCGCCCTACAGTGTGCTGGCATGAAACTTGAAACATGAATGGAACAGCTCAGGACAACAAGGAAAGGAAGAGAACTGCAAACACAGCGAGTGCTTGAAGGACCATCCTGTCTAAGTCCCATATGATACTGCCATCAAATGAAGATATCTCCTAGCAATTGTACATTTTACATTTTATTTAACAGATACTTTTATCCAACGTGTCATATAGTTGTTAAAAAAAGGGTCAGATAGTTCATGGAGGAATTGGGGATCAAGACCCCAAGAGTGAAATCAGTCTGCGGACCCTGGAATTTGAAACAATGACCTTCTGATCACAGTCCAAAGTACAAATAGTACAATGAGACACAAACTGATTATCCTGTATGTCTAGTAATGATGTCTTCTTCAAATCTGATGGTCCATAGAATCATTGTCCTTGACAATATTTGTCCATATATTTATTGGCTATAGTGACCTCCAGTGAAGGCAAAAGTTTTTGAGGGAACCCAAAGTTCATGGCTCCCATCTTACATAACAGCCAGAGCTAATTTGCCCTGGTTGCCGAGTCACCCAGACACCGTTCATTCCAGAATGTCCACAAACAAAATCTAGTGAAGGGAGGTTATTAACTCTACTAAATAAAAGCAAACTTAATTTTTCTGGAAATTTATGGAAATGAAACCAATCCATCCATGGCTCCATTCTGAGATCAAGCCATTTCTGGCCATGTGGGAGTTTGGTAAAGAGTACAAAACCTCCCGTGTAGCATGCATGCTAACTGTTGTGGTGCAGCCTATCACTCATGAGAAAGAAGCGAGGTAGTAGGACTGGGTGCTAGTTTTCTAATCCAATTCTCTCAAAAAGAAGTTGTATCTTTATGCTGTTCATGTGTTTAATTTCACAGTAACAACTTTAAAATTAGATTACAATAGCAGACAAAGAAAATAAAATAAAAAAGTTTTCTTCCTGCACTTAGGTATTGTAGGGATAAGCACATTCACTGTTAAGCAGGTTGCAAAGAAACATTGCAGAGTTTAATACACTCCTTGTACTTTGTCACGCGTTTTGTTTGCCAATGATTGAATAGGTTTGTCCTATTGCAGGTTTACATTCCTACTTCCGTCATGCAGAGCTTGGTTTTACCCTGTATCACCCTCTCCAAAGTCAAACCATTCCCAAGCAGCGGATGTCACGTTTGCAGCCTTTTTTTGGGATTCAATAATCTCAGACAACGCTACTCGCGTCTTCCTCTTTCTCTGCCATTATGTCTGTGGTCAAGTTAAATAGGCGGGGCTTATCACAATGAGGAGTTTATTTAAGATGAGCAGCTACGGAACCAAAGAAATTATTATATCGCAATAATTTCCTTTCCAAATGATGCATTTAAAAATATGATTCATATCGCAGGACTCGGTATATTGGCCAGTCCTACTAGATAGTTATTTTGCATTGAGTGAAGAAAAACTGATATGGCATAAAGACCTCGGCGTGTGTTTTGGAGCCGCCTCAATTAACTCTCTGCTTTACTGTTACTGTGATTAAAGATGTTCACTATAGTTACTTTATGGAGAAGGTGCTCATTTAAAATATGTGAAAGAAACATACAAATCAGCCGCCACACCATGTGACAATAGGGTGATGGACTTGTGGGTAATGGGTGGTTCTTTACTTTACAGTGGGTCTCTCTTGCTCGCCTTATTTGTAATCAGAGACTGGCTGCCCAGCAGATGTTCCTACTGATTGCATTTATTTTTTGAATAATGTCACTTTACTCTGTGATGATGAGTTGGATGCTGTTTCAAAAGGTTGAACTGAATCACAGGTAAAGATCAGGGCCGTCGCTGGGGTTTTAAGACATCGGGGACTCAGTCCAGAGACCTAATCTGTCTGAGGGTCATCGTATGTGCCTCGCACTCACTCTCTCTGAAGTTACGATGACAACAGAACTAAAAAGTCTTTAGGTATCAGCCCAGGATGTATGAAATTCTCCAGCTGAAAACACGGTAGTTAGAACATCTGAGCTAAACAAATAATCCGGAGCTCGTTCTGATTCATTCGGGGTTTAGCACCCAGCCTGTCATGTGTCTGGGTATGATAAGTTGGATTCCCACTAAATGCTAATCACGCCATTTTCACTGCCTTGACCAGAAGTTTTTTAACTGGAATTTTGTTTTAAATTAAAACCGTAATAATTGATTTAGTCTATATTGCAAAAGGATGACCATGCAACAAAAATTATAAAAATGTCTGTTTAAAAGTAGCTGGGGAAACATGACTAATTTGTAAGTGTCCGCTTCCCACTGCAGAACAGTGTTAGGACTGGCCCTTCATTTGCTGGAATGTTCTCTCAGAACAGACAGGAAACTGTGCATCTTTCAGAATGGGGGGGGGGGGCTACTCTTGTGAAGCTTTGAAAACAAAGTTGACATTCTATTCGTGTCCACAAAGAGCTGCCTTAAGGCGAACACAGGAAGTCACTGGAAGTCTTCGTATGAAAATATGAGACTGCATAATCTTCACCCCGCCAAATGTTTTGTTTTCAAGAACAGTGTCTTAAACTCCTATTCAATAAGTTTCAGTACTATTGTTATGAGCAGTACTTTGACATTGTTGTCTTCTAAAAACACAATTTCTTTTTTACATTCATTTTACCTTCTAAAGAGCATCGAAATCCACCCTGTTTTTCCATAGATTGAGATTCTTTCCCGATGTCTCATGCGCTGCTGGATTTAGGCTATAGCCCAGGACTTTGAAAAGCATCCAGTGTCTCTAGTCATTCAGTATCATCCAAACCACAAGGGACCCGCATGGCCGAGTGTACTTCCCAAAGTCATGCTACCATGGTGACAGAGTTCCTTGCAAGGTGTTGACAGTGGGACATGTTCAGGGAAGTTCAGGGAGGCCAAAGCAAATACGGCAGTGGGTGTGGGGGCACTGAAAGTGCATGAGAAGGTTGGCATGAGCCAAGGAGATACTGAATCACAGGATGTTGTGGGAATTGTTTTTGGGATGGAGTTGTATCCATCTAGTTTCCATAATCATATACCCAGTGCATGGTCTCTGTAAGCCTAGATGTCTGTGCCAGATATGGCAGGACGAAAGTCATGAGGACACGCTGTACAAGTTACTTGGAAACCAGAGTGCCTGGAGGAAACGGAGATAACCATAGGATGAACATGCAAAGTCCACACACACACGGAACCAATAGGAACCAAGCTGACGGCCTTGGAGGTGTGAAGCTCACCCTGGGATTTTAGGTACCACGACAAACTTGGCTTCATGTTCCTACAAGATAAATGAGCTGTTAAGACTGTCTGGAGTATTACACTGGGTAGAGGTACAGAATTCCTTTTTTTAACAGGAACAAAATATTCAATGAAAGAAACAGTATCACACACATAGTGGGGCGTCTACAAAGACGTCTGTGTGCTTTTAGAGATTCTAGTATCGCCAGCACAGGCAGAGTGGGGCAGTGGGTGCATTATCAAACCCCAGACAAGTGCTAACTAACAGAGACTCTTCCTTCTCCCACTGCCACATTAGTTTAGTCTGGGATGAGACTGGTCTCTCTTCCCGGGTCTCCAGTTTTGAGTGATCCAGTTGACCATCTGCCCTTTCCACCTTGAATGTGTTTGTAGTCCTTGCCAAATTCTGGGACATATCTTCAAAATTCCAAAATATGCATGAAATGTCTGGGAAAAATGACTTTCATTCTGATGGCAACCCAGAGGTCCACCTTACCTTTGGTGCTGGAGCTGTGTTTGACATCCCCCACACTGCCAGCCTTGTAGTAGGTAATGCCTCTGATGACTCCTGGCTGATGACCTGCCACCTTGGTCTTGTTCGTAGGGTCGGCTGGCTTAATGGGCTTGACCGCCTTTGCGGGCTCCTTCTTGGGTTTTGTGGACTTCTCCTTTGCGGGCTTGGGAGGCGGATTGGCCCCTGGGACCTTTTTGCTCGAGAACTTTCCGGCCTCCTTGGAGTTCCCCGCTGTGGTCTCCTGCAGGAAGGAGAGTATGATGAAACTCCAACACAGTGCTGTCATGTACCCAGTGCCTGTGCTAAACCCAAAATTTGATTGCCTCATTTTGCATGTTCATCAGATGTTGGAATGATAATTGGGCTCATCTTTGTTGTGTAAACAGACTCTGCTCTACAAAGAATGTACTTTAAGTGGTTATAAACTTAAATTTGCTCTTTGAAGTTAAGGACTATACACAAACAGTAATTCAGGCTCCAAGAGCTCTAAATGAAGTTGGCTCTTTGCCTTTAATTGGTTCAAATATTTGCAGGTCAATGAAACAACTATAGCAGTGTTCCTCTGTGGTACCTGGGACTTGCCGTCATGGCCTGCAGTGTCCTTTTGCAGTAGCTGCAAGCCCAAACTGGAGATCTCCTTCTTGATACTTATCATGATGTCTGAGTAGTTCTCATAGCGCTTCAGTTGATTGGTCAGGTTGATGACACTGTCCTTCACAAAGTCATTCTCTCTGGTCAGGTTGGTCTTGATGGTCTGGAAGGAGGAGGCCAGACATTGAGAGGAAATTTCTGTTTCAACATGGGGAAAATAAACAAGGCTTTACTTGTCCTCTGACCTTCCCATAATCAAGTGGCAGGAATTCCACCAGATTTAACCCCAAAGTGAAACCCGGCAGTTTGCACATTTTATAGTTTAGTGAATTAATTTGACTACTGAAGTGGATTTGCATGATAAACCCCACAGTCTTCCAGCAACAGTGGTTCGTGAACCATCTGTTCTCCTTCCTCGTGACTTGGCAGAGAAAACTACTCTGGTTTCTTTGCCGTAATTAACTTTTCATTTCAATTAGCAGCAAGAGCTTTGGACTCAATGAGGATTAAATCAGTTGCACAACCGCAGCGAGCCACAAAATTTGGAAAGGCCATGCAATATCGAGCGACAGGAAATCAAGACAGAACCACGACCTCTGCGCTCAGTAGCCAGAGATAATTTCTCCCGCCTTACCTCCTCCAAGTCGTTCATCCGAGAGACCACCTTGTTCATGTAGGCGTGTACCTTCAGGAGGTCCATGCTGTACAGTGTCCCCTCCAGCAGATCCACCATGGACTGAAGCTGCAAGGAGAAGCAGGCAGTGCAGGCGTTAGTCAGCCAACAGAGTCTCCTGCTGTTGTACAAAGTCTTTCATGGCAACATTTGGACAGACCGGAAAACATCAAGATTTATAAATGTGGGTCATTGCTATCATCCATCTATGAGACATTAGCTACACATGACAAATTCACAAATCACATCCACCTGTTCATTCATATATATATATATATATATATATATATATATATATACACATACATATACACATACACACACACATACACACACACACCATATATATGTAAAACGAAATTTATATATCCATAGGCAGCATAAAGCAGCATTCATTTGCACAGGATTCATTTTCCTGCCAGTTTCATACGCTCAAACAGGCACGCTGAATGCGTGTCAGTGATTTTCATGGTTTGCTGGTATCCTGTTTCGCTCGGTGTGTTTCTAATCCGCAGCAGATCCGATAGCAGCGTCGTGGGTGAATAAGCACCATCAGTTCCAGCTCCAACTGCCGCTTCAGATCGTTACCTCAGTCATCTCGTGGTTCCCTCCTTTCCCAAGAATCTGTCCGGTCGATCAACTGCCATCAAAATATTATCACACAAACTCAAGCACTGCTTCAAACGACGGCGTCCCAAAATCCACAGAATCCCGCTTACAATCACTAATCAGAATGCTATCAAAATATAGTCAAATCCGTACATTTGTCAATGTTGGACATATAGTTGACATTTGCACGTTTCCCTTTCCCACGCTCTGAGTTTCTGGCGCCTTTTGAGAGCCTTAGCGACAGAGGTCCTCGGGGTCCATCGTTTGTGAACCTAAAGTCAGTGTCGATGTCAAAGAACCCTGAGTCAACATTTCCTGAAATAATGCTGCACCTATGAGGAGACACGACCTTCGACCTTTAACCGCTGAGAAAGCGATGCATTGAGACGTGTTGAAAACAAAGAATGTGCCAAACCAAAATTAGAAGAGCCCAACGTCTCAACTGCCCCATGGTCTTAATCGAAATTCAGTTTATTGAATGAATTGTGATGTAATGCACTGTAATACAATCTATGGCGCCCCCTGCCTTGTGCTCTGTGATCCCTGGGATAAGCTACAGGCTAAGCTGATGGAAGACGGATGCATAGATCATTTTATCACCTGATTCTTTTAATCAAAGGTGGTAAAAATAAAAACTGTACTAATAAAGACTTGGTGTAGATGAGCACAATCTGCCAGCCGATCAGACCACCTTCATATGAAGATAATGCAGCAGACTGGTGTGCAACACTCATCCCAAGGAGGACAGGAAGGCGCTTCACACGGCATCATTCCGGGGTCACTTTTCTGGATTATTCCACATGCTGAATGAGAAAACCTTCCTCCTTTTTGAGAAACAGTTAATTCACTGGCTGCAGTCAACAACCACTTCCTCCAGCTGCTGGACGTCTCCTCAGCCCCCCCCCATCTCACAAATACTCACACGCCGCCCAAATGTTTGCGTATGAATCTGTGTCCAAAAGCCAAATCAAGTACATCTGCAGTCATCACATTTCCACAAAGGACAGTAACGTCACAGCACAACAATGATGAACCGACTAAGATGGCTGAAACCCAGCGCAATGACAGCATTAATGTTTGGGGGTAGCGCAATAAAGCGGGCAGACCGTCTGGATCAGTTGCATTGTCCTGTCTTCCATCAGGTCCGTCCTCATCCGTCTATCTGTCCACCACACTTTTAACCACCTGTGGCGTTTCAGAGGTGTATCCCAGTTGCGCCCTGCACTGGAACCGCAGAATGGTCATGTGCATTTTTGTGACTTCGCCCACATTTCCATGACTGACCCAGGGGCATATACAGGGGCGGGGCCTACAGGGGTACTGGCGCCGGCTGAAAGCTGACTGGCCTCCGGAGTGCTCCCTGCCCTGTCACTCACCGATTCAAAACACATCATTGGTTAATGATTGTGCCCTCTGTATGAAATATGGCCCCTCTTATACCCCCATACTGCGCTCTCTCTGCCGGCCGCTTCCCCCCCCATCACCTTGAGCAGCTCTGGCGCCTGCTTCTTCAGCTTCTCCATCCGCCACTCATTCTCGCAGGGATTGAGCGAAGACGGCGGAGCAGTGCAGGAGCACCGGCAGTCCGACCCGGAGCTGACCGTCTCCACCGCGTAGAAGTCCTCCGGACGGGCGCTGCCGCTGCGCAGCCGGCTGCATGCGTCCCGGCTTAGGGGCCGCATGACGCACTTACAGCGGCAGTCGGAACCCTCGGAGGTCATCCGCACAGGCTCCGTCTCCCCGAAGATCTGGAAGATGAGGGAGTTCATTAGTAATTTTTCATCCCTGTGTTACTCTTCTTTTTCTTACCTATCTATATTCCTGGATGTTTTATAGGAGACATACACATCAATCAGTGGTTCAGCAGAAGTAACCCCCCGTTCATATCCTTAATCCGACTACCTGACTCTTTAAAATCCCTACTTTGGAACATTACTGTAATACTTCATACTGTGTAGTCCATTTATGTGGAGCTGAAGTCCCAGCTGATAGATTTGAGTTACCAGAGCACTATAAATGCTCACTATAAATGAGGGTTTATGCTCCTCTGAGTTCTGTTCCTGAAGTGATTCCGTAATGTTCTGTGTTTTATATTGCATTTAATTAGCAGAAGATTTTTGTGCAAAGCAACATACAAGTGACGCAAACAGCACATTACAAACATACGGCTGTCAAGGAGTCGCCGAAGCATAAGTGCAGCTTGGCGCTGAGCTTCCAATGAATGACCGGGTAAAAGTGTAAGCAGGACTGGAGCAGGAGCTACACAACATCTACCAAACAAAGCAAGAACCTAAAAGGACCATTAAGTGATCGAGACAACAACATCAAGAACATCCAGGGAATTACTGTCTTTTTTATAGCATCATTCCGTTTAAGTGACATTAAAAGCCTCTGGCGAGGATTTCCCAAACAGCTGGGAAAAGCCCTTCTTAGATGTTCCACAGAGATAGTTTCTGCTTACGATTATCTGCTGGGAGCCGAAATCCCGAAGCGAGACTGTGCGCAAACACGGCAACAGAGCGTCCGTCTCATTATGCGCCACACGACCGCCCTGGTGCGGATTCGAACAAAAACGGGCCGCCGTTTCCATTACAGCGGGGGACTGAAGTCTGCGCGGCCGCCGTTTTTACCAGATGCGGTTCCAAGGATGCAAACTCCGTTTCCGTAGGAATGGCTTAACATAAACAGAAACGGAGCATTCAGTGTGATCATAACTCCCGCTGTAACCGTCCCCCCCCCCTTTGAAGTGAGCCCACGTGTGCCAGAGTAAAGTCACGGAGTAAGACTCGCGGGCGGTCAGCTCGCAGCGCTGCCAGGATGATGCACGGAGCCGGCTGCCACCCGTCCCGTATTCTGCCGGGATCCACTCGTACTGAAGAATAAATTGCTGTGCCTCGTTTTGAAACAATACAGGACGCGATTTGTCCCGTATTCGCGATTCCCCCCCACCGGTGCTCGGCGTATCTTGTCGTCGGAAAACCGCTAACCACCCCCCCCCCTCAGCAAATTTCCCGTATTTCTTAAGATTGAGAGTGGCGATCTTTTTCTAATGTTATTTTTAACTATATCTAGCGAAACAAAGGTTTGGCTTTACGGCAAAAAGCGTGTTTATCGAACGTAGCTACACATCACACAGCACGGTGCCTAAAATGCTCACGAGCGTTAAAAGCAACAGAGCAGATAGGGCCTCCGAGACTGGAGACATGAAACAGGTGTTACAACTTTTATAGTCACCAGATACAAAGAATAAAAATTAACAAAAACGGGGAGATATGGGGTGGCCTAAATAAATATTAAACGAAAACAAAAATACCACAAAATATTTTTGGCATGGGGGTGGGGGCACTGCAGAATCACACGCCCAGGGTTTGAGGTTTGAATGTCTTCCAACCAAAGGCATGCACTTAGATAAACAAGTATTTGTAAAGAGCCCATAGCGTGTGTGTGTGTGTGTGTGTGTGTGTGTGTGTGTGTGTGTGTGTGTGTGTGTGAGCGGGTATACCTATCCTAATGGGGACACAATGCCCCCATAACGTGATGAATATCCATTTTTTCCCATAAGGGAAAACTCAATTTTATAAAAAATCGGTGAATGCTATGAAAAAAAACTAAAAATGCAAAAACTCTATTTTGCTTGGTTGTGGTTAGGGCAGGGTGGGGGTTAAGGTTGTCATAGTTAGCGTTAGCATTTTTCCCATAGAAGTAAATGAGCGGGCCCCATATGGATAGGTATACCTGACAAAATAAATTGTATTTTTTTGTTTGCAGTAACAGTTTTATGAAATTGAGCTTCCCCTTGTGTGGACAGACAAAATGGTCTCCACAGCAACAAAATAACAGTTTTTTTTTTTTTATCACATTGTGTGGCCATTTGGTCCCCACAACATGATACTGTATGTACATGACCACACACACACAGCCTGTCATCACTCAGCTTCAGGTTATCAAAGCAACACAGAGCAGGTGCAGAGACGTGGGTGGGAGCGTCACATGGGGCATGACTATAACCAGACTCTGAATAAGGCCGTGTAATTTACAGTCTTGCTGACACCTGTCATTAAAGTAACTTACAATTTAACTCGGTCCCCAACAAAAGACTCAGAATTCCCTGTGCACCACATTCTCTGCGTTTCCTGTACATATTTATATGTTGATGCCTGTATTTTTTATTGTTCATTTGCAAGAAATCCTAAGAGGCTGCAGAACGGTCTGTGTGATTATCCGTCAGGCTCTGCCCATGGGCACAGCACCCAGCTTCAGCACGAAGGTCCGTGCACTTTAACAGCTCAGAACCAGAGGTGTTCCTGTCAGGATCAGACCCTGACCGATGACTGTTCCCTGTTTGGCCAGCAGGTGTCGCTGGCTATCCCGTGTCCTTAGCTCCTTGTGTGTTCCCCTGTTCTCCAGGCCACCGAATGACTTGATGGGCTAAGTAGGCAGCTGTCTCATTCAGGGTTCCCGTTCAACATTATGGGCATTGGGTTATTTTTGTGTTAATTATGCATTGGTGTATTTCTCTATGGTTCCATGTTTTGCTCCCTGTTCTGTGTTGCAGTACTGTTCAGTTACCTTTATCCTAGTCTCCCCTGGTGTTTGAATCTTATCTGTTAATTGCCCTTACCTGTGCTTTTGTTCCCAGTGCTTATTACTGCCCACACCTGTCTCTTGTTGGTCCTCGTCATGTCTGGATTTAAGTACCTGCCCTTGCTTCAGTCGGATGTTGTGGTTGTTCTTGTGTTAGCTCTGGTTTAGATGTACATGCCGTTAGTTGTTGTGTTTGTTCTTGTGTTACTCCTTGATTTAGTTCTTATTCTCCAGCCACTCATGTTTAGACCCTTGTAGTCTCTTGTTTTCTTGTTTTTTTCCCCGATCTTACTAATAAAACCCCCAATCTGGCAGCCGCACCGTGGATCGTCCGACTTCCCAGCATGTCCCTCCGTAACATGTCCCGCTCAGACCCACAGTACCACTCACCCTGACGTCCTCCTCACGGGAAGTTTAGAGACCAGCCCACGTGTGCCCCCATTTGCAGGACCGGTGGAATGAAGCCCAGGTCAGTCTGAACTCAGAAGAGCACGCAATCACCATTATGTTACAAACAAAAATGTGGGGGAAGATACACTGTAAAAGCAACACTTACAGTGTATCTAATTTCTTATACATTTATCATTATCTTTCTGTACTTATGCAAACTAGCATTTCTAATTAACCCTTTCTCACATGTGTGCACCCTGTGACACACTGGTATCCTGCCCAGGATGTTTCCCAGCCTGAAATATCACATTTTCTCACAAACTGTGTGTTACTATAGTGAGAAGCCTGCATTTAATTCCTCAGTGACTGATGCAGTTGTTGCCATGCTCTTTCTGCATTTGCTAAATCATACTCTAATAATTCTCAATCTCTGGAGCTTAAATATGCTTAAAAACACATTTTTGCACAATGTACAAACATCTGATTTGTGACGCAAAGACGCTAATTCATCTGCACACAGCTGTCCCTTGGAATGCCCAGAGTGATTTACACATCCCACACTTTCATTATATTTATTATCTTTTCATTACACTTTGTCTGCTTTCACCGCTGGGTGTTTATTGTGGCAATTATTGTTCATTAAGTCAAGAGTATCCTGGCTGGCTCTCTATCTGGCTGGGATTTCACTTTTAGGTCTGGCTCCTCATCCAGTAAAACTGCCAAAAAGATATTAAAACACTATTACAAACATGGCGAAACGATCTTCTGAGTTTGTTTTACTGAGGAAGTTTAGGGGTTTGTTTTTGGGCAGCCCTCTTGAATGGTCACTTGTAGCAGTTCCTGTGGGATCAACCGTACATTGTTGTCAAAGAACACCTTTGTGGGAGGGCGATCAGCACTACCATAGCCTGCTCAGAGGGGGGTCCACGAGTGGCCGGCTTGCTTGAAAGGACAGAGCCTCCCTAAGATTATGGGGGCAGCCCCCATGTACTCCCCTACCTTCAGCCCTTATTGTGTAATTACCCAAATGAAGGGGATCAACCTAAAGAGGTCACGCTTTGAGGTCACGAGTGGGGGGTCACGTTTCGTTTCAGGTGACTGACTGTGACAGCTTGACCGCTGTCTCAATTACCCTCAGTCTGCTGTGGGGCTAAATACTATTGCCCTGTGTGTGTGTGTGTGTGTGTGTGTGTGTGTGTGTGTGTGGTGGGGGGGGGGGGGGGGGAAACTAATATATTAACTGTGGAAGCAGACTGGTGAAGCGTCCCGCCTTGGGGAAACCGATCAGGGTCAAGAAATTAGT